TGATTCTATGACAATGACCATCTCCATGCTAAATGAAAGGCAGTTAGCCTTTCTTCATTCTGCCTGTGCATTGTGGAGTATTTCCTTTTATGTACTGAGGAATATACAGGAAAGCCACATGGAATTAATTTTGGTGCTGAAAACGAATAAAAATGACATTTTCATAATTCCTCACCTGCCTCCTTATTATCTTTTTTATTGTTTAGAAAACTATTTTCCAATGAACAGACAGATAAAGAAAACACTGTGATGTTCATGATAGGAAACACAGTTTGGCTTTTAGGGATGCATTTAATGCTGTGTGTTGCTCCATTTTTCAAGTCTGACGCTATTCTGCTCAGCTTTTGCGATGTTTGTTTTCCTTCGCCAGCCTGCATCACCGCGGAGGAGGAAAAGGCAGAAATAGTGATCTTACGACAACAGTTCACTTCTTCACACAGCTTTGCTCTGGAGCACTGTTTTAAAAGTTTGCAAAAGTGCCATGTGAATGTTTCGTCAATGTTTTTACAGTTTTCCTATTTTAAGAAAAACTAATGAAAATCTCTATTTCCAAATGAAAATTTTATTTTAAATGTTAAAGGGAAGTGGTGAGATCATTAGGAGTTTTTTTTAGTCGTAACCCTGAAACAAACTGAAAACAAGGAACTGTTTGAATTGGATGCATAGTTTCATCAAAGGGTTTTAAATGTAAATCTCAACTTAGAAAAAACCAAACCAAACCCTAAAAAACCTTTGCCGTATGATTTCCAAGTGGAAAAGACCCGCCTGGGAAAAAACCACCACTTTAAAATGGCAAAGGGAGAGAGTAGAACTATGGCTAGAAAATAAGAGTTCAGACTTGCTGTTTGATAGGTCTTGACTTGTTAAAAACTGGAAACTTTTTGAAGGTTGACAGGGCATAGCAAAAGAAGTAACTGTTGATTATTCTGCTCAGCCTTCACTGTTGTGTTTACCATGGGGTGGTTTACGTGAAGCAGGTAGGAAATGTGTTTGCTGCTGGATGTTGAGTTGTTGGAGCAATGTTCCAGGGAAAGCTGAGTCGTTCCAACAGCTGTGCTACTGGTGAGGAGCTGTTCTTGCTTATCCCACTTCTGACATATGCTTCAGTTGCCCTTTTGTTGGTGCCTGTCTTATCTCTGTGAACCTGTTTAGCTATAACTGAATTAAATTATTAACTCTTGGGCGTTTTTTCCGGGTAGTTTTTTATCAGCTTAGGGAGCTTGAGCTGGCTGGATGAATGTTGAAGCTGGTGTGCAGAAGAAGTGGGACTGCCTGGCTGGCAGTGGGAGAGGATGAACTGCCTCTTTCAGTAGCAGTGAGCTATTAAATGAGCTCATCTGTAAAATCTCTCCCTTAGAGATTAACTTGCTGATAGGGGGGAAAAAGGGAGTGAACTGTGTTTTTTAAAAAAAAAAAAAAAAATATTACTCATCAATATAAATGTCAAGAGTTGAGTAGTAAGAAAGAGTTCATTCTCAAAAAATGATGCCAAAACCAAAAGAGTGTCTCAGATTTTCAGTTCATTCAAATTAACTGGAACTGGAAACAGACTTTCAGTAACATTGGTGATACAGTCATGCTGATAAATCCTAGATTTTCCAACACTGAAATTTAAAAGAGAAATCAAAGCACTGAAGCAGATGCTTGAGCTTAACATAAAAGCTGCATCTTTCTATGGTGTAATTTTGCCTCCAGTTGGCAATTTAAAGAGAACTGAACCCTTTCAGACTTGCCTAGATGTGTCTAAATCTGGTCTTTTAAATTTACCGGTGTCACCCAAAAGTGAATGCTGCAATCCAAGAAGTTACACTGCAGTCTTACTGCTATTTGTTCAGGGAACCAGGGAGTTTTACTCTATGTGTCTGAAGGCAAAACAACATTTTGTTTAATTTGCGAGGGGTGCTATAAAATGCAAAGGAGATGTGAGAAATGAGGTCTTTGCTGTCTATTCAGACAACGAAGATAAGTGAGGGAAGGGAGAAGGAAAGCTTACAGGATTAAACCGTCGTAAAATTGTGATATATGGGAGTTGTGCATGTCTGTAAATATTAATTGTGATTGAGTAGACATTTAAAATCTCAGAGTACGTGGTGAAAGTTATGCATCTGCAACTGACTTCAGCTTAATAAATAAATAGTTTGTGGTAGCTAATGCATTCTACAATACCTGAAGAGCGTGTATCAGTTACCTGGTTAGCTGTATACTCTTACAAATCCAATTTATAGGCATTTTGGTTTAGTGTGGAATTTGTATCCATTCTGGTCTCAGTGTAATAATTACAGTAGCTTAATTTTAATGAACATAGGCAGCATCTGCTATTCTTCATTTCCATTCCATGATGTTAATTGTTGAGATGGACATGTAATAGTAAAGAGGCTATTAATATTCTCATGCTCTTGTAGCCAAAAACCTTTGGAGACCATTCAGAAAAAATAGGAAAGGTTATATAGCGTGCTTTTAAAGGGTTAATGAAAAAAAAAGAAGTAGACTGTTGCCAAGTTGGTATGGGATGAAATCCTAGTCCATGTCAATTTAAGTTAATTTGCTTTGCCAGTTGCTTTCAGCTATGAATTGTTGGAAGCAGGCTACCCAAGTTAGAGAAGTAGGCTACCCTAGTTCCCGTGCAGTGTATTTCTTGCAGCGTAGGGAAGTGCTTGGCCATAACATTAACCAAGAAAGAACTGATTACTCCATGGTGTCACTGCAATTAAACCTCTTGCACCAGCCAGTTGACTACATAGGTTTTTTATGGGTCTTCAGGATTGTTATTGTTTGATCTCTGAAACAAGATTACTTATTTATTTTAAAATAAGCTATTTCTCTCTATTCAATAGAAATAAGAAGTACTTTTACTTGGGTCATTTGCTAAGCTTTTAGAAATAAGAATTGGTTAATTATTGTAACTTATAACACAAAAAATCATTGAATAGGTAACACTAGCTTTTAGTTCCACTACACGCATGGCTAAAAGCAGTGCAACATGTTTTGCTTTGTTGGCTGTTGAAGATAGGCTTATGCCCTGTTAGCCTCTTACTTTTGGCATATTTTTGATAAGAAAGTTTGATTTATTGAACTTACTGAGCCCCCTATTTGTAATTTATCATTAAATTTAAAAGCTAAAGAGAAAAAATTGGCTTGATGCTGGAAGAGTCATCATACAGAGATGCTGTGTGGCTGATGTTAGGGAGTAGGATAGCATCTGCATGCTGAATTACCTCTTGCAATTACAGTAGTGCTGTAATATGCCTTGTAAGTGAATTTGTTTCGAACTATGCAGTTAAAGGTGTGCTGCTGTGCATTTCAGATAATTTTTTTTTTATGACTTTAGTTTTAATGTCTATCTTGAGTCCACATTTGGCCGTAAGCATTACACAGCTCTGTTGATGCAGAACTGGAGACTGATAGCAGTGAAAAGTTGGACTGATCAGCTTTGATGAGAAAGATTGGTGTGAAAAGGGTATACATTTGTTCACATTTCTTAAGCGATATTAAATTACCATGTATGTATGAGCGTTCCCACTGAAGTTAATGGGGTCCATCACTGCTTGTCTGCTGAATTCAGTACAGTTAAGATTTCCTCTACACCAGTTAGGTACATGGGAGTAGTCACACAAACCTGCTTTTCACTGGGACTGTTGCTTCTTCAGCACGAGTCCTATAGTGCAGAATAAAGAGATGAAAGCTCTTTTGGTGTGTTCTGGTTTATTGCTTCTTCTATGTCTCTGCCAGTGCATTCTTACTTCTTACAGTGTTGTCTGATGCAGCAAATGCTGATAATAGAAGTTCTGTTTAAATTTCATTGGGATTTACGGATTTATAAGTGTAAATTTGAAGGTGTCCTTAACTGGTTATGGATAGAGAATGTTTATTGAATTTGGGCCAGAAATGTCATGTTTTTTCTTTTTTTCTTTTCTTTTTTCCCTAAGAATGGAATACTGAGTTTTTATTTTTGCAGGTTTTCATACCTCTTTTATTTTGCATCTTCTGCTGTGTAGAAGCTTTTCATCTCCTGTTGCTGCTTCTTGTTTCTGCTGCTTTTCTGCATTTTCAAGCTCAAATTCTTCATCTCAAGATTCTTAATTAGAATTCTGTATTGTGGTTTATCTGATAAAGCAGAGTTGTAGAAGGCAGTTAGAAGCAAAATGACTACATCTGCCTCTTGATACATTTTCACGGACATTTTTCTGTCTCTTTAGTGTTTTTAGTGAAATATTTGATAAAATTACGTGTCACAAGTCATTTAAAGGCATGACTGTTTTGTGGACCAACACTGCTGAGGAGCAGCAGTTTTTGTTTTGCTTCCTAATGGCTATCTTTGGCTTAAAACCCCCTTTGTCTCTTTGGACTGGAACACAGGAGCTGGCAAGCTGCTCTGTGCTGGAATGAGTGGTGCTCTGCTGGCTCTGTCTCTCTGTGGCCCCACTGGTGCCACTCGTGGCCCTGTTTTATTTAGATTCCCACCTTTTAATAGTAGTTCCAGAGTAATTGCTTGGTCTGGGGTGCAAAACCATCTTTCTTCAGAGTTTGTGTCCAGCAAAGCATGTATACCCCCTCAGATTAGAACCATACTGAAGGCAGACCAAAAGCGTGTCAAACCTCCCCTTACACTTCACACAAACTTTACATTTCACTTGACAGGAGCGAAAACTCCTGTAACTAGTTGACAGTCTGAAATGTAGGCTTCTTAAAGAATTAGAACCTGACTTCAGTTCTCCCGATAAGGCAGTTAGGGGTGCATGCACATGTGTGTATACACACACATCAAAATATATGTCTATTATCCTTGTCTACGTGTACATACCTGTGTGTATCTTTTTCTTAAAGATTTGGACGTTGGTGGTTGGTTACCTGCTGCTGGTTTCATTCAAGTGGAATGTAAGCACTGAACGTTACTTAAAGGCAGTCTCTGTCCCTGTCTGGATTATGCTGCTCTTTCACTTAGGTGAGTAACAAGAAGTTATTATTCTAATGCCTCCGCTGGGATTCTGTTGTCTTGCAAACAAAGCTACTTGCTTGCTTCTCTGCTAAATCTTTATAATGGAGTCTTAACTGAGATGCAGGCTGTTTTCTCTGCGCAGTAATTCTGGCTGCGTGTGTCCAGCAGGGAACGTTGGAGCAGGAAATGGGAAGGGATCAAGATGCTGAGCAGCATGTGTCTTCCACTCCTTCTGCCCAGTTTGTACTTCCCATGGTTTTCCCTTATTTGGCTCACAGACCTGGTACTTTGCTCCCTGACAGTGAGGAAGGGCTGGGGTCATATGTGTGTGGATTTAGACTTTTACTTGTGATGACTTGTAATATTTTTATTTTCTTGAGAACCTACCATTAACCAGGGCTGAAGCCATAAAATGCACTTAATAGTAGTAATAGAAGCAAAATCTGTCAGTAGTCAGCAGACATGTCGATATGATATCAACAATATCAAATAAATTTGCAACTAATCTATATAATCTAATACAAATATAAGATTATAATAATCTATTAGTATTGGATTTATTTTACATGTGTAATATAACAGATTATCAGATTATATTATCAGAGTTTATGGTGGAAGTATCATGCAATAATAGACTATTATAGTGGAAGGTTTCACAATGTAATTAATGATTTACTTTGCTTTAGCACAGGTTTCAAGGGTTGTTCTGACCATCTAGGGACATGCAAAATTACAGGAAAATACACACAAAATAAAAATGTTTTACGTATCAGAGGCAGATCAAGTTAAAAAAAAAATTTAATTTTGCATGTTGTTTTTGAAGTTGTTCTCTAGATCAGCGTAGTCACTGAAGTTAGGAATGGTAACAACTTGGTTTGTTCATTGAGAAACTTGTCCACAGTGTTTTCTATTCTTCCTTTCCGAGAATATGGAAAATTTATTTGCTTTATGACACTTCTTAGTTTCTGCCCAGATTGTCTTGATTTTGCTAAATGTAGACTTTATTAATGGCATAGTTTTTCATGTTAAAAAAACCAACCCTGTGTCTTTCAGCTTCTGTGGCAGGTTCCTGGAGAATTCCTGTGTTTCTGATTATAGTTGTTCTGATGACTGTAGGCATGTTGCATGAACAGCATGATGGAAAGGAGTCTTCTGGTAAGGAACAAGTCACTATTTCTTTTATTGTTGGAGGCAAAAGTTCTATGAAGTCAAGTGAAAGAATCTGGACCATATTACTGTAAATTCAATATCATATGGATTGCAAGAATTTACTGTAAGATTTTTGGTATGTTTCTTTCAAAGTGGTTTACTCACACTGAAGAGAATCTTTTTGATTCTTTACAGAAGATCACTGCAATGCACCGATGTTTCTTTCCCATAGCAAAGTAGTGACTCTCATTATCAAGCTCGATTGCTTAAGTTTACAGAGTCCTATATGTAGTTTCAAGCATAAAGCAAGCCCAGGGAATTTGAAATCAGAGACTCATTTTGAAAGAAATGAGCAACATGGATTTAGTAGCTTGTATAATATTGAGTATGAGAGAAACTGGGACAACTCCATCCAGCAAGTTTCTTATATCCAGTCATTTGTTTTTTAAAATACCAGTTTCTTAAAACTATGGTTTTTGTTTAGACTTGGAGAAAAATAGGGTTGTGAGTCAATTTTGCATAAAAGCAAATGTCAGGTGTTCTTTTCTAGTACCAGCTGTATGACTATTTTGGGAAACTTTTTACCTGTCTTGCTGTTTTAGTTTTCTTGAAAGTCGTAATAATCTTGGTTAGTGTAATTGTTTATCTGGTATAAAGATTTTTAGATTAATCGGACTGCCAGCAACTGTGGATGACTTGACTAGTAGCAGTTCATTAGCAGGGAAAGTGCTAACCAGATAACAGGTTTTGTGTTTTGGCTCCAGGGGTATTGTAATACTGAAATTATAGCACTCATTCCTCTTTGATCGTATTTACTACATATAATACATATTAAAAACTAACAGTGTCTATCCATATCATTTCTGTTGCTTGACAGTTTTGGTGGATATCAAGCAACAAATAAAACATTTTAAGACTTAAGCTTTTCTTTATTTACATACACATATATATTTTACAGGGGCAGAGCTTCCTGGTCAGATGATTTCCATTGCTGCTTCAACAATTGCCATGGCAATTTCAATGACAGAAGATGAGTCCAGTAATGAACATTCCTCACAACCCTCAGGTGACTGAATACTCTGTAAGGAACATTTGAATTTGCTCTAAAGGCTTGAAATCGGAGGGAATTAAGAACAAATTTCAAAATAGTCCCTATCCTCTTCATCCTGTCCAAAATAGCACATTTATACTTACCTTGTGAAACAGACAGTAATCTAAGAGTCTTGCAAATGATAGTTTACATGGCTGGCTGTACATTTAGAAGACCAGATTAGAAGGATTTGTTGGTGATTGGGTTTTTTTTTTCTTTGAATGAGGGCGTGTTTTTTTCTTATTCTTTGTTATTAATTTTTTTATTGTCCCTAGCCTTCTTTTGATTTATTGGCAGTTATGAGATCTAACTGGATTTCTGGACCAGGTACAGACACACTGGAATAAGTTTTGTGTAGATCACAGTGACAAAAAAACCTTTGTTCTCTGTTTAACTATGGCATGCTTAAAGTCTTTCCTGTAGTGAGTTTACCTGACATTGTAGCTTGAGTCATGATACTTTCACTTGCAATAACACAAATAGAAATCTGTAAGAAATGACTTGGAAGAGTTGCAAAGAAGGTGTTTAGATGTCCATCACTGGTTTTGAACTTTACCATTGTTTTTCCAGGTAGGCCTTTGATGGAATGTGATACTAGAAAAATAAGCTATTATGGAGATCTCTGGAAATTGACAGATTTCATCCATTTCCTGCAAGTAAACAAAACAGATCATTCAACTAGACAGAATGTGAACTACCAAAACTTCATTTTTAAATATAAAGAGGGCAGGTTTAGACAACTTTTCTTGGTTTTGTTTCTACATTTTACATGACTATCATCAAAACAAGGATAGAACCCTATGGACATATGTCCTGAAATTTGAGAACAGAGCATCATGGTGACAGTTCTCTTATATTGCTGTCTCTAATTTTGAAAAAGAGATATTTTTTTTTTTAGCTGGATTCTGAGCATCTAGTCAAGCAACAGTCTCCTACAAATGTGCTATGTAGGTGGTTGTGTTCTTGTTTGTTGCTTTTTTTTAATTTTATTTTTTTTTTCTCTTCTTTAAGACAGTTTTTTTTTCTGGTTTTGAGTTGTAACTTCTCTTGGCCAAAAGTAAACTACATCAGTTTTACAAAGGTGCCTTTTATAGTGAATGTTTTTTGACTTGTTTTCTTGAGACAGTTAACCAGATGGTTTTTTGTCTTGCAAATTCTGTTGTTGTATTCCTTCACAGCAGGAAAAGAACAAATATGGAGTTTCCTGTTTACTCCTAATAATAGTTCAAATAATTTTCCAACAGTCTGCTGGGATTTAGCGCTCTATTCTGTGATGTGTGTTAAGCATCCTTTTGGTCATCTTTGGTTTGGATCTTCTGTGTGAACGGTGATGAAACATTATTCTTGTACAGCAAAAGGTTTTACCTGCAGGGTTAAGAAACTACAACTCTTTTGGTTTTCCTCTGCAGTGATTTTTGTATGCTTTGTTATCTTGCTTTGGAGATTGTAGTGTAACACACACCTATTTTATGAGAAGTGTAAGATTTTGCAAGGTTTTATATCTTCAGCCAGGTGGATAGCAGACTTCAGGAGATCTTCCTTATATCTATTGTGAGTATGTCAGTGATTGTAAGGGTTGATTAATTGTCAATAGCAATAACAATGCTTATACTTTATTAAATCAATTATAGAACAATGAATGCCTCATATTTTTACTGTTCTCCTTACGCTTAAATTTGTTCATGAAAAAAACAGGAGGGGAAATAAGCTGTATTGATTTTATAGGTTTTTCTGAACGCTCATATTTTTCCTTATTTTGTTGTTGAATACTTGTATTTAGTGTTGGGGGTGAGGAGTTTAATGATACCGATTGAGGTGGTCTAACTTGTCCTTCCTGGTGTCCCAAGAATTTCCAGAGTATACAGCAAATGAGAAATCTGCAACTTAAGAAGCAGATACCACTGCAGTATTTTGTTAGCTGCATGGTAGGCAAGATTCTATTGTCGTGTTGGCTTTGAATATGATAGGTACTGAAATCCTTAAATGTAGTCATGATTCTTACCCTCCCTTTCCCTCCCCTGCTTCTTTGTTTTCTGAAAAAAAAATAAAATAATTCTTCTGAGATTACAGGAAGATGTGGTTATTCATGAAGGGAGTCTTTCATCCTGGTGTTCTGAAAGACTTTTTCATTAATAATAATAATAAAATCAGTGTTTCGTATAAGTCTGAGTATTTTATTCTGATACCCTGCTCCATAGAGATACAGACACTTGCCATCGTGTTTATGCTGCCATTCCTTTTCCTTTTATTTAAGGAAGGGAAGGAGAATAATTCAAAATGCTATGCCAGTGAGAAGTTGACTTGACAGAGAACATACTGTATAAAGAAAAGAATGTGTCTTAAGACAGCCTGGAAATTGGACTTTTTTGTTGGTTTTATTATATTCAAATAAGTACCATACATTCTGATTTTACTAGAATTCTTTACTGGGCATTATGTTTGCCATTTGGGAAAGACTGTCATACTTTCATTAGTTGGAAGATGGAAAGATTTTTTTCAGGCTCAGGCTTCATCTCTTAAATTACCATGAAGCACACTAAATGGGGTTTTACAGAACCTGAAGTTACTCTAAATCAGTATTCTGATAGTTCTTTTTTTCCTATTTGTGTTGACAAGGCATTCATGCCTTGGTTTGCAGAGCATATCTTGGCAACAAAGTGTGACTTTTTTCATTTGCAAAGTTTGGTGGGTTTTTTGGGTGGATCAGCTCTGTGAGCTGACTTACGATACAGTTATCTGAATGGCAGTTCTGATGCTAAGGAGTCTTTGTCATGGGGAGAATACTGGGTCATTGGCAATGCCAGTTTAGTTTTGCTTAACGTGCTGCAGATCTGCATTCTGAGAAAGCTTTCTTGTCTTGGCATGCCATAAGAGTTTTTAGCTTTTTTCTTTTCTTTTCTTTTTTTTTTTTTCCCCCCTCCCTGTCAGCTCTTTCCTATCTGTGGTTTGCATTCTGTGTACAGTCTGCTTAAGTATAATAGGGAAACTGTAAGAGAATGAGGCAGTTTAATTGGTACTGCTCTTAATTAAATAATAGCAACAGTAATGTTAAGATTTTCTTGATTGCAAAAATAGGTTGATCAAATTTTTCACTACCAAAAGACAGAATATTCTTTTTTCTTTCATAAAAGTGACTCTACTAAGGGCTTTTGGGGCAAAAAGCATCAGATAACTTTAATCTTGAGGCATAGATTTCAGCAGATTAAATTCCTTTGTTTTTTCTATTTTGGCTTTTAGCACTTCCTTCCCTTTGATAAATATTTGAGTTTCTGTTTGTTGTCATGTTAATTCTTATGTTTATTATATTAATCTTGGAGCAAAAAAGTAAGAAGAAAAGTGTTGAGTAAGTTGAATTAATAGGGGAGAATTCTCAGTTATGGACATACTGCTTTCAAATTTGTGTTCCTTTAGTGCATTGTAAGCTGGATCCATTTGTTTCTATTAGTACTCTTATGCATCGTTAAAAATAGATGGGAAGTACAGGGGAATGATAGACCCTCTGTTTCTTATGACAAAACCACTTTGTCTTTTTAGGAAAACTTCTGTTCACAGGTAACCTTCTCTCCCCTTATGAAAAATTAACTCGTCTTTTTCTCCAAAGTATGGTTTGTATGATAGGGCTGGCCTTCATCCCATTGAGACATGAACTGATTTGCCGAGAAGCACTCTACCTGAAGGTTCCGCTGTGTTTACCTGCTTGCAGAGTTCCTTCTTTCAGATTGCATTCTGTAATTTCTTTGGGAATATTCTGAAGTTCCACCAAATATGTTACCAGCAACCAGCTGATGTTTCTGTCATCATCTCAGTGTCTATCAACTGGGTGAATCAATAGATCTGCATTATTGTATTAGTGTGGTGGGGAAGTGTTTATAAGCTCTAAAAATAGTTCCACTTACTTATAGAACACCAGTGCAGATTCCTACAACAAAAGAAGAGTGTTCATCCAGTCTGTGAGGCTGCAGAATTTGTCACTTACCACTACTGTACACGTATGACAAATGTCTTTTTGCACATTCTAGCTGTCATGCTTTAGGCTAGGAATGGCTCTAGTGACACATTGAAGCTAAAACTGCATGTGCGGAACATGAGTTGTTTGACTGATACGCATGTAGTATATTGTAATACACTTTTTACAGCAGTTTTTCTTCGTTGGAGGAAAGTATTTGGTGTTGATGTGACACAAGTCCAGTGAAAGATTTGTGTTCATTGCTTACCTGCTACAGGATGTACCAACATAACAAATTGCCTTTTACTTTTCAGCATAGAGTAACTTTTCGGGTTTTCTTACGTGTGCATTCTTCCACCATGGCTGCAAATTTTTCTCAAGTAATGGTGTGAGGGAAGTGTGTGCATTTTGCCAGCAGCATGGGACCTTGGTAAAAGTTGATACTGGTGTTCCCAGGGAGAGATTCTACATACATTGACTGAAGATGGATTTGGTGTTACCTGTACTAGGCAGATCTACCAACTAAAAAGTTTAAATAAATTACTATGTTCTCTATACAAGAATTTTAATTTGGACATAATATTTTTGCCCGAAGTTACTATTTACTGTTTATTTAAAAGTGCCTTTAACACATAAGTTCACATTTTTGCGTTGAATTTCATGTTTACTAACTTACGAATGAGAGAATGACGTTTGTTACCCACTAATTTATGCTTGCTGTTGTTACTAAAATATGTTACGCAAGCAAGTAATTTAGAATCACAGTGTGAGCGCTATGTTTGTATTGTGAGTGTTCAGGAAAAGAAAAAGTGTAGCAAGAAATTTGTAAGATACAAGCTTTCTCTTCAGTGTATGCTGGTTTTTTTGTTTTGTTTTGTTTAAATGAGCTTTGAGCAAATCTCAGATTTCGAGTTCTCGAAGTAAAGAGAAACCAAAGATTTCTTTTAAGACTTTAGATTTCTGTTAGAAGTGAATTACACTGTGTTTTTCAGGGTTTAGGGTTCTTTGATAAAACATCTTTGGCTTATAATTTACCTGCAGTGGCAGGAGGCCTCTTAGAGGCTGTAGCATCTTTTCTTCTCTCCTTCTCCCAGAGCTGATTGGCATGATATTGCATGATGTGGGAGAGCTTACACAGCCCTGTTCTACCTTTTCGAAGTTCAGATCAGTGCCAAGGCTGTACCTGTCTTCTAGAGGAAATTTAAAAAAAAACCAAAAACCCAAAACCCAACAACAAAAAAAGAAACCACCAAACACAAGAAGAAGGTTCATTTGGGACTAGGGAGCTTATTCTGTTCTGTGGTGAACACTAATGTGCTGATTTCCACTTCTTTGTTTGCATTTGTTTGTTTTAGGAGCAACAGAAGGTGATCAGCCTCCACATGCTTCATCATCTTTCTCCTCCTCTTCATCCTCTTCTGGGAGCAGACAAAGACCTGAGATTGGATCTTTGCTTAGAAAAAAGAAAACCAGTGATATTTACTTTGTTACACTTGTGTGGGCCATTGTCATTGTCCAGATCTGGCTAAATTTCTGGATTGTGCAGCTATTGCCAGTGCCTTTTGCAGGTAATAATCCAATTGTTAGAAATGTATGTTAAATGATGACTTTGGATAACCTTAGGCTTTATGTTAAATAAAATAGAAGGAAAGGCTTGTAGGCTTGTATGAGTTTTAATTTAAAACTTTTCCAAGACTTTTTATTAAGACAAGATGAATTGTAGCTTCACATAGGAAGATTGATATGCACTGTCTGTTACCATGTAGTTGGCAATCTGTAAAATTGCTTTGTCTGTTGACTATTGTTACCTGGAATAATTTAGTGCCATACCTTACATTGTAAGAATACTTCTGGTTTAGAGTACTTTGTTTTTCTTCCTCTTAATGTCATGTCTTTCATGTTTTTGCACCTATAGATAAAGAGTATTTTAGCTGTTACTCAGTAGCGAGGTACAGCTCATGCTAACTTTTGATTTCCATTAAAAATGGGTTGCTAAGCTCTGTGGACGAGTCACAAGACAAATTAGATTCTAATTCTAGCTCTGAGGTTAATTAGCTTTGTTGCTTCACATCTACATGCATCTGTTCTCTTACATATCAAGTAAGAATGGAGTAGTTATGATAGCTATCTAAAGAGCTTATTTTAAAAACTGAATGCCACTTTTTCCAGTACTCTTTTGAGGTGTGAATAGGGAAGAGGGGAACTCTGGAAATATGCATGAGCTACTATGAATCTGAAGGCATTTTGCCCCAGCCCCCTACTGTAAACAAAGTGAGTTTCTTAATTTGCTTGGATTTTCTCTAAACTTCCATTAAAATGCTAATTTTCAGCATTTTAAAAAATGTATTTAACACTTAAACGTAGCTGTTTTCCCTTTTACCAAGTGTGGTACGTTGGCCACAGGTAGCGGCCAAGTACCCACAGAGCCGCTCACTTTTTTCCTGTCTTCCAGAGTGGGCTCATCCATGAGCTGCAGTCCCTTCGGGGAGGTAGGTGCTCAGGCGTCCCCTCATCCCTAGGCCACAGTCCCTTCGAGAGGTGTACCTGCTCCAGCATGGGTCTTCCATAGGCCACAGTCCCTCGGAGTGGTGTGCCTGCTCCACTGTGGAGCACTTCTACTCCTCTGGCCTTTTTATTCCCTCTGTTCATCCCTCTCTGTTCAATCCCTCTTTCTCTCTGTTCACTTGTTCCGCCTGTGTTCCTTCCTCTTCTCCCCCTCTAGTGTTTTCTGCCCTTTCTTAAAGATATTTTCACGAAGGCACCACACCTGTGCCTGATGGGCTCAGCTTTGGCCTGTGGTGGGTCCGTTGTGGAGCCACCTGGAACCGACTGTGTCTGGCATAAGGCAGTCCCTCGTCTCTCCCTGTAGAAGCCACCTCGGAAGCCACCATATTACCAAAACCTAGTTTATACTCAATACACAAAGCCATTATAAACTGTCTTGTTGTGCATCTGAAAAACCATGACCTGAAATCCTGATTGTGGGTCCATGCTTACGGGCTGGAGGCGCTGTGAGCTCTCAGAGGCATGGTGAAAGGAACAGCTGCACGTTTGGCTGTGGCACTGTAGCAGCACCTAAAGGGTAATGTGATGGTTAGGCTTATAAATAACTGAATACAAGGTAAGAGGAGAGAGGGGTTTGATCTTTGTTTCATTCCAGTGTAGTTGCTACAAAAGAAACTGCCCAGTTTTGGTGTCTGGGTGTCATGGGAAATGGTAATGGCAGGTTGAATGTAGCTCATAAATAAATCATAAAAATTGTAAAGGAATTAGAAAATAAATTTTACATTTACTAGAAGCAGAGCTTATGTGGCCTAATTTCTTAAAAAGTCAAGGAGTGACTTAACCACTGTTCAGAAATGGCTGCTTGGGTGGGAGGAAAAAGGGGTGCAGTTAGGCAGATAACAATGAATGGTTTTATGCTTGAGCCAGACAAATCTAGATTAAAGCACACATCTATAACTGAAATGGGTGAATACTGCTTCTGCCAGTCATTAGGTCTAAAATAGCTACCCGAACAATAAACTCATGACAAAATAGAAATTAATTTTGAGAATATTTGTGACTTGTTGCCTTAGCAGTGACACTGGGCCATTAAGTGCTTTTTCTTGGTGTATAACCGAGTATAACTAGATCACCACAAAAGTATTATGAAAGGGCGGTATAATGATGAACAGAGCCAAATTTAGAACAGTGGATTGTATTAAGTGTCAGAAGGTGAATGATAATAACCTAGATAGTTAAAAGAGACATGGTATTAAAAATATTTAGTATTGGAAAGTAGGAAGGCTTATAAAGCAAGTTTCCTTTCAACTGTTCAAGTTTAAGGAGACTAATAACTTCAGGCACTTCTGAGGCTTTAAGGAGAACACTTCTGGTATGTAAAAAATTAAAATAAAATAACCCCCAAAGCCTTAAATAGGAAGGTGTTAATTTCACCAGAGTTCCTTATGTTAGTAGGCAGGACTTACGTAAAGTAGCATTTAGATTATTAGAAATATCTTGGTACCATTAACATTTTTTTCTTGAATGTATTTATACTGTGGTAGAATGAGATGCTCTTTTAAAATTGCTTAATGTAGAATATGAAAAAATTATACCATAATTATACCGTAAAATGAAAAGGTGAAAAAATGACTTTTGAATTCAAAAGCTAAGCAGTAAACCGGGTTGTGGAACACTTGTGGCATTTTGTTCAGTGATGAGAGCCTGGGAACCCTGGTATTGTCTCTTCTTAAGATCTTTCATTGACTTCCTTGCTTATTCTGTTGCATCCTTTTTTTAATTCTATTTTTGGCTTCCTGGAGATGTTTGGAATTTCTTATTATGCAGCCTTTCTCTCCTTTTGCTCACAACTTTCTATTGCTCACAACTTTCTAATACCAGTCATCCTTTAGCTTTTTCTCTCTTGCCTTTTTTTAACCTAATATAATTGCAGCCATGTGATTAACTAGCACCTCCTAACATCACCTTTGCAATGAGCGTACACTCAGTTATTTTAGAAGATATTATTTAAACACTTATTTTTCAGTGATAGCCGAAGGTTAGAATGCAATTTCAGGTATGTTGTTCACCTTGTAAAATGCAAGCTGGCCCTGTTTTGCTGAGCAGCAGTTTGTGTATTTACCATGAGTTGCATTTCATCATACAAAACTTCAGCCTGTAAGGTAGGTGCTGGCACTCATGCTGTATTTTCTCATTTTTTATATGTTTGCCACATAGTCTTTAGTAGAACGATTATTAGATTATTTTTTGTTCGAGAGAATAAATCCCATATTTGCCACGTGGTGGTGCCAGAGGGTAAGTAAACCAAACGTCCGCGACTTGTTGAACGAGCTCTCTGGGAACAAGAACGCAAACTATTACACAGGTGGCTTACAGGTAATAGGCTCTTCTGGAACTTTGATAAATGCCCTGTGGATATTAAAAGTTAACCTTTTTGGCTTTGTATGTCATTTTACACATCTCCAAGTGGAAGCATGATGTGAATTTTTGAGAATGAGGGAACTATTGTAGTGTTGATGTATGGCAGTAAGTAATGAATCTAGTTTGGAGAGTAGTCTTGCATAATAAAAAAAAGCTTTATTAAAGTGCACTTGGATGTAATGATGAGGTGTTCAGTATCAAATGTTGCTCTAAATACGATATAATTGAAGGAGTATCGCTAGCATTTTCACAGAAAGTTATTTTATTGTGCAAGTAGAATTTTTAACACCAACTGTAATTTTTGATCTACATGTGACATGCACTGTTACTAAACTCTGGTTTAAAAAAATTAGGGAGAAATTAGGAGAGTGATGTGATTCTGTTGCTAATAGCTTCAGTTTGTTTTCCTTTAGAACCATAGTTTTCAGTATTTGGGGATGCAGCATAATTTTGTTTAGAGGCTTGTGTATCAGTAGTTCATGGCAGGACTGGGTTATGAGAGACTTTCTAGTCTGTTACTGCTATGTATAATAATTACAATCCTTTAAGTTGATGTATCTTGTAATGATGTTTTTGTGACTGGTATGTTTGCATCAATATGCCAGTAAAATCAGTTGTAATACAAATCTTTGTTTATAATGTGAATTAACTCCTCCGTTCTGATGTTAAATTTGCTAATGGCTTTCGAAGATGACTCACTTTTCTTCTTTTCAGTGATGAGAAGATAGATAATTTGAGTGGTGTAACATTTTGTTGAATAAAAAAAGAATGTTAAATAACTATTAAAGATCTATGAGCTTGCAGGGAAAGTTTCGTATTATCATGCTTTTTTGCTTTTACATTCCTGATTGTGACGATTCACAAGTTTTGCACGTATACTCAGTAAGTGAGAGAGCAGTGCCATTGCAGAATTGGAACCATAAGCCTTATGCAAAAGTCTCTGGACTTTATTTCATGGCAAATAAATGGACATGAGCTTTTATTTCTGTAACTGTAATGCTAGACATTTCTAGTGTTCTGAGAAGCTCTGTATTTTACAGTGGATATATGTTAGGAGTGTTGGAGAAAAGCTGTTTGTGGTAGCAAAATGCTTCTTTTCAGGGGAAAAAAGTTGTAAATTTTTCTTGTCTGGTTTTGAGGAGCAGTATGGATTTTTCTGAAGCTTTGTGTGATCATCTTCAAGCCAAGATAAAAAGCTGATCTCAAAATAATTTTTGATATTTAACAGCAAAATTAATCACTAATTGTATTTCAGTTGAAGCTTTAAATGAACACTTATTTCCTGTGAAATTACTTCTTCCTGTGAAAGAACTTCTTCACTGTTAGAGTTGTTAGGCATTGGAACAGGCTCCCCAGGGAGGTGGTGGAGTCATCGTCCCTGGAGATGTTCAAAAAACGTTTAGATGTGGCACTTCAAGACATGGTTTAGTGGACATGGTGGCATCAGGTATACGGTTGGACTTGATGATCTTTGAGGTCTCTTCCAACCATAATGATTCTATGATTCTGTGATTACGCATGATCTGCTGTCAGTTCTTAAAGGAAAGAGAGAGCTTTAACCAGTATAGAAGGCCTAGAACTTAAGAATTGAGGCTGAAAATTTTCTTTTATGTATAACATACTCTTAAGTTTTGACTCTGGTATTTTATGTGTAGTCATCTAGCGTGGTGTATGTGTGAAGATGTGATAAATCCACTGTACTGGAATCACGGAATGGCACCTGCTTATCCCAGGCCTTGCTTAAGTCTGTTAGCTGCATAGTCGGGTAGTGCGCAGGCACCTTTCTTCTGCTGCCATCTAAATTCCACGTGGATAAGCACAGCTGCAAAGCGAGTGAGGAGATTAGTACTAAAACCACTTGAAGATTCTGAAAGTGGTTTCTAATGGGAAATAAAACTCAAGAATCTTTTCCTTTTTCATAGGCCTTTCGGAATGGAATAGATGCGTAGTCTTGTGGTGCTCCTCTGAAATCTCTAACACTTAATTTCCTTCTTGTGATTACAGTTTGGGCACTTAAAAAACTCGTGATTCATTTTGGAGTTTTGAACTTTGTGGCAAACCATTGCAAAAGTTGGTGGCAACTTGTGGAAAATTTTGTGAGGGAACGTCAGGAAGCTCTTGCTCCACGGCCCATCAGAGGTCTCGGAAGAGTCATGCTAAAGCTTGACAGCAAGGTATTTCTACTTACTTCCTTAAGCACCCTGAAAGTTTATTTTATTCTCTGTTCACTGTATGCCAAGACGCTTTAATTCTAAAATAAATGTCTGTCACTAATGGACATGTCTCTCATGCAAAATTGTATCTGTTTTATGGTGTATTTTAAACCATGTCTTTTCTGTCACTGTTCACACTTAAGTACACATTTAAACTTTGTTAAATGATTACATGCAAAGCTTGACAGAAGTTACTTTTTAAAGATTGAGTTAGCTTTAGAAGATTTCTTATCTGAGTAAGGCAAACTTCTCATGGTTCAGTCACCTTACCTGATTACAAAGATTTTGAAGTTAAACTTAATGAGCTTTAATCTAAAGGATGAAACATTCCTACTTCTGTTGTGAAAACTTAATTTAAAAAGCAACGTGTTTTATTCCGTGAGTAGGGCCTGAGCTAGTTTGAACACAGTTATTTATACTATATGGAAGTATGGTTGTTGAACACAGTGGCATGGTGATACACAAGGGAGAGGTGAAGAGAAGAAATATGTGGGATAAGGTATTTGGGAAGTGCCATACAGTAAGGCTTCTGTGCTCCCCTCCGTTCTCCTGCCACATGTGCCCACATTTGCCTTGCAAATTGCAGAGTTGGAAAGCTCCATAAAATTTATGAAGGCTCCTCCCTTCAGAATAGTAAGTTTTGACTTAACTTGGTAGATCATTTTGTTTGTAATAGCTATGCCAGTGTGTAAGAATGTGCTTTCTGTAACTGTGTTGTTGTTGAAGTATTCTCTGCTTTAGAAAAAACCATTACCTCAGAGTTTCTGTAACTGAAGAGCTGAACCCTGTAAGTACATTTGTCAGAGGATCTATACCTTGGCAGATCCATCTGCAGTTTTTAGCTCTGAATTGCTACAGGAAGAGGAAGAGCTTAAGCTCAGATCTAATAGGTAAATGGATGTTAAAAGGTCAACAAAAGCATTAAAATGGCTGTAGGAGATAAGTAATGATTTCGCAGAGATCATTGAGGAAGAATTTGAAAAAGGAAAAGCCTTTCAGAATACAATTACGAACAAGATAAAGGAGGTTTCCAAAGGCAATGGAAAGTATTAGCATATTAGGATAAAAGCTTCCATTATACAAAGCTTTTAATGAAAAGGTTTTGTTTTGTAAGTAAGAAGACTCTCTAAACACAGTATTGTATGTACTGTATTTTACCAATTGTCAAGTTTAGTATCCTTGTATTGCTTAACTAAATGATACAGTATCCTTCCTAATTCCACTAAGTCTTTTCTCCTTAAAGAAGGTAGGGCTTTTGTCATAATGTGCAACAGAACTTCCCACTTTTCAGCTTACATGTATTTAAGGTCAGTTTATATTCATGCTGTTCTTGTCTAAGCAAAAGAACAGTGTTGGCACAACTCATTTCTCCATCTCCCCCCTCTCCCCATTTTTAAGATGACAGTCACACTCCTGAGTCTGTGCTATGTGTATGAAAACAATTCAAGCTCTTCTAGCCATTGTAAGAAGGACACTTGATATTCAGCATGGTTCTGTTGCCCTTGTTTGTGCCTATTCTAATTACAGTTCACTTGGCTTTGTCATGGGTGGCTGGAATTTTATGTGGTCTTCCAATGCTTATCACACTAATGCTTTCATATCTTTTAAGTTCTACTGCATATGCTTACTCTGTGCACTGTAGGATCATGGATGCATCTTATCTCTGAGAATTTGGGAAGCAATGCTGTAGGATATTGGCAGTTGTGATTTTTGTGGGGACAGGGAAAGGAGAGGAATGAAAATGACATCCTTACAAGTTTTTTTTAGAAAGGATGGGTGAGCTGTATTTAAGTTGGATTACCAAACATTTTGGCTTCAGTAGGCACTGTTGAAGAGGAAGTGAAAATATGCAAACACAAAATAGAGATTAATGGAGTACATTGTTACAGTTTACCTTTATATGTATGTGTGTGTGAAGTACCAAGATTGAAGGGTCATTTCCTTTGCAATTAGAAGTTTAATATTTTATTTGTACTTTCTTTTCCTGGAAGCTGAAGCTGCTTAGTGAATTTTTTATTTGTTTGTTTTGTTTTTTGTTTGTTGTATACTGAGTTAATTGCAGGCTGAATCTCAGCATCGGGACCTATTGGGGCTCTTAGCTAAGTAGAAGAAGACATTGACACGATCTGTTTCACGCAAATATCTAGTGGTACTGCTTAGTCTTTGTAAAGTGGTATGCCTGATTAGGAAATAGTTCCAGTTTTGAGTAAAAGATAGTGATGATGAGGAAGACATCTTAGAGTGGCATGTATTTTTCTCCCAGACAAAGTTTAGGAGGCTAGTGTAGATGGTCCAGAAAATAACCCATTGTGAGAAATTATGGGAGAGTACTGCTCATGCATGCAGATCTTTGAGCTTTAGTGATTATGTCTGTTTCTTAAATAAAAGCAGTAAGAAAAGAACTGCTCTTCTTTCCCACTGCTCATCAGCCTCTGGTTATCTTGGGAATGCAGACAAATTTGAACTGAAGAGAAATTCTGATCAAGAGGGAAGAAAGTAAAGCATTGCTTTTAATTTTCTTTATAAACAGTAGGTCAAGCTGTGCAGGCCTGCTTTAGCTATGGACTATGGAAATAGGATGTCTTGCCATATTCTTTAGTCCCTGGTTGTGCATTTTCCCCATGGAGCCAACAGAAGCAGCAGTTCAGATACGAGAGACTGTGGAGGAAAGAGCAGGGAGATTTCTATTGTTGTCTGTCAAGTCATCTTAAAACTTAATCGATATGTTATCATGCATACTCTTATCAACAGTCAAGAACTAATAGTTTGCTTCACTGATAATTTTATTTTTTTAAAAGACTACTGTTGTCTTTTAATACGGTGACTGTAGTTTTATTTTGATTCGAGGGATTTGTGAGGGAGTTCAGCCACACAGGCAGTTGTTCAACTGTGTGCACTAGACTTTTATTAATAAGAATGAGCTAGTATTTTGCATGTGTACTTTCTGGTAGACTTTGGTGAAACATGTAGTTATTATATGCTATTTCTAAGTATAGCCTCCTAGAATTTTATATATGGAGGACCGTAATAGATTGTTTGGACTTTGAGTAAAGTCAAGGTTTGGTTTGTCGGTACCAAGTTTAGCACGTAGCTAAACCAAGCAGAGAAACCAGGCAGAATCTCTACCAGTGCATGTATTATTCTAGGAGGTACTTTCATAGACGTGAAAGATCTTGTTTAAATAGTTTTCCAGTAAAATACTGGAAAAGTGGCTGTAGCTTTCTTAATTTTGGATGACTTGAAGCTTCAAATTAAGCTGTAGCCTATTTTTAAATGTAGATTGGTTACGTTTGTAGAACTACTTAAACATCAGTATTGGTAAAATAGTAGGCAAGTAGAGTCTCCCAGATATTGTCTTATACATTAATAAAAATGATTGTTATTTTTGACACGTAATGTTATTTCCTAGTTACTGTATTTATGATCCAATTCCAGGAGGCTGAAATTATAGCAAAATACCGAAGACTTCCTTTCACATTCTGCTAAAATCTCAGGCTAACAAAAGAGCTCTAGCTTTTGTTGTATTGGAGTTACAAAGTGGAGAAATACAGCCATGAGGTCTATGCTTTTTCCAAAATGAACCTAATGTATAGTGGGTTTTTGATCTGCAGAAGTAGTTAAAGGCAAAAGTATGTTGTTGAATTGGTAAACAACTTTACCTTTTTTCACTGATAAATTGTTCCATTGGTGAAAAGGTAAAATAGAAACAAATTCTACAGTGTCAATTTGAGGCTTTTGAAGCTTTGTCATTGCTTTCCGTTATTGTGATTCTTCCCATGAGTAGTAAGCTAGTAAAAATGGGTGCTTTGTGACATATTTTATTTTCACGTTTCCTGATATTCATGTTTCTTTGTAAATCTGCTTCTTGCTTCTGATATAACTTAATTAACATTCTGAGATTTTTTATTTTTTTTTTAAATTTGAAATGTTCTTACATTTTATTTTCATTGGGAGCTAATATAATTTCTGGCAACTGGTGAAAACACTAGATTTTTTGATTTTTGAGCATTTGATTATTGAGCATTCAATGATCTTGTTTTCAGGGAGAAACAAACTTCACTTACTTGATCTTAACCTCTAACACAGATAAATAATAGCATTAAAGCTTTTCACTGTTGTGATTATGCTGCTAACCGATTACTAATGGCTAGAATTAAGAGTATAGTCCTACATAAACTAGGTCCTAAAATGGTTGTACTTGAGCGATATGGCTGAGAATTAAGTAAGGAAAAATAACTGTAGTACAAAAGGAGAAATTGACTGATGAGAAGTGCAAAGAGCCTTCTGCAAAACCAATAAAATTATATGAAATCCATACATTTATTTGATCTACAATTTGCTGTTGTGTGTATATCAGATTTAGGACATATTTGATGTTGTGCCATTGAATTTGAATGTTGTAATATGAATGTAGTACTAAAAAAAAACCATATAAAATTTGTTGTACAGTAGGTGACATAATAGGAGGGTTTTGAACTATATAGGAAACTGCCTGAATGGGAGTATTAATGCAGTAAACAAGTATCTTGTGTTAAGTTTTGGTGTTTTGGTAAAGTGCCCTTCTCAGAATACTTTTACAAGTCCTGCTCTGAAATCTGGAATGTTACCTCTCAGTATAATTAGACTGGAATTGCCCAGATTATGCTGATAGCTCTGTTAATATCATTAAAGTTGTTCTTATTTGTTATATCCCTCTCTGTTTCAAAAAGTGCATGTTAATAGTAAAATCTAGATTCTTGCATTAGAAGTTGATATGATCTTTTCTTCCTATTGCAGTTTACCTTTGTGTCTGGAACAATTTCATTTTCATTCTGTGGATGACTTTGCCTGCTTCTCATTGCTTTTTTCCCTTCTCTGTTACTGCATTTTTCAATAATTTTCCTCTGTGTTCTTGTCTTTTTTCCCTTTTCTTCCATCTCCCCCTGCCACTGACAAGCTGTGGCACTGGCTTAATAAGAAGGTAAATAAACAGAAAAATTGTGATTCCAACTAATGGATTCTGTGGTTTTGGGGAGTTTTTTGTTGGTGTTTTGTTTTTGTTGTGGTTTTTTTTTTTTTTTCACCTGCATGAACACTCCTTAACATGCCTTGCTGCTTAGTTTTCGCTCCCAAGCGTCTCTTTTCCAGCTCTTGGTATAAGCTACTGAAGGTCATATAATTCTACCTGGTCTCTTGTCTTCTACTAAAATGAATTCACATAGTGAAACTTTTTGTACAGCAGAATATTGCATTAGCCTTTCAAGCGGTAGTTTGATTTAGTGGCACTTTTCTTTAAGAACAGTTGATCTCCACCTGGTCCCCACTTGTATGCGTAACAAAACCAGTTCTCCTCTGCTCAGAGAAAGCATCGGTTAGCTGAATTAACATGGGAGTTGTGAGGGTGAAGCACAGTTGTAAAGCTATGAATGTAAGTGCTTGCAAATAGTGAATTGACTGGCTGCAGTCATGCTGTTAATCTTTCACTTTTCAAGTGTCAAACAGGCCTGTAATCTCAGTGGTATTCAGTGTAGCAGGAGTGAAATGAGAATATGCATCATCTCAGAACTGCTACATCTAATGACAGTCTTAAGGGAAGTGAGTGCTAGTGAAAAAAATTTTAAAAATATAATTAAAGCAGTTGGTATAGCTAAAATATTTTTTCTTTTGTGTGGCTTTTAAGTATGTGGTGTGTTTTATAAGAAATGTACTCAGTTCCCATGGTTCATCTTAATGAACTGATTCAGTCCACATTTGGCCTCATGTGTGATTGAAATCTGGACAACTCCTCAACGCAGTGATGCCTCTCTGGGACTTGGGTGGTGTCGTTGCTTCAGACAAGCACGGAGCTGGAGAGGGATGCCTATAGCACCTGTACATCTGCAGGACCTCAGAGTTTTAAAGGTGAAAATCTAGTATGTGATAAAGTATGTGAAAACCAAGTAATTAAGTGAAAGAGAAAAAAACAAATACTGTATCTGGAAATGGATTATGCTTGCAGCAGCAACTTTTACCCTCTCTTACTACTTCAGTGTCAGTGGGAGAGTCAGAATGGTGAGGATGGTTTTATAAACAACCACCCCTCCTTTCCATTCAGTAGCTATTACAATAGAAACTGTATATCTGCCTTGTATGTTGTGAAAGACGCCTGAAATACTGTTGTTCGGAATGCCACTGGAAACAAGCGGAACACAGTAAAGCATGGCGGCACTGGCACAGCTTTCTAAAAGATTCTTGTAAACAGTGAAATGGGGCTGCACAGCTGGTATCTGCTGTGGGTAGCAGATGGGGAATAATGCTGCATGTAGTGTCCAGGCTGAGCAGTTACAATGAATTTAGAAAGTCTGATCTTCAGTATTTGATCAATTATCTCAGGGTTGTATGATGGGGGGCTTTCGGTTTTTCTGAACTGGAGAGCAGAGGTGCTTGCTTTATGATTCAGTTATAATCATCCCCTAATAGGGAAATTTTTGAATGTTCTTCTGCCCCTGAATTTAGTTTGGTGGTTTTAAAAATTACATTTTTTTTTTTCCTGACTTTGAAAGGTTTGTATTATGTGAGTGACATATGATTAGTAAATATGTGCAACCATAACCCTTCATAAAAATTTTTTGATTAGGTATTGGTTTGTTAACACAGTTTAGGTGAAGAGCTGAGTTCAGTGAGCCACAGGTGAAAGTTTTTAGTCTCAACTACTTTTTTCTGGCTCTGAGTTTGTCATTTGTTTGTTTGAAAATTCATGTATGTAGATCAATTTTTTCCTTAATATTTGGTTGCAAAAACAATTTCACTGTAACTGCTTTGAACTCTAAAATGTCTGGATTTTATTTTTAGTTTAAAGATTTGCATTATTGGGCAAAACCCTGTGGATATAGTTTCTTAACAGAGGGGTGTTTTTTTTAGTTCCGGAGAGCTATTTTTGAAAACTACTGTTTTACTGTACGGTTTCATAGGAAGAGATCCTGAAAGTCCTGTAGTGTTAAATGCAGTGCTGACTCTTGTGCATGAGAAAGCAGTAGTAATATTATAATCAAGATAACAAACAAAGGTAAAAAAATACTGTGCAAACTGTATCAGGTTCTTGTGAGTTTGTTTTGTTGGGTTCTTTCTTCTTTTTTAAAATATTTTTTTAATAATTACATAAAAAAAAACAGGCAAGGAAAGGAGGAGATTTGTGATACAGAACACTGAATGCCGTCAAAAGGTTGATTCCTTTGCACTTTTCTCCTTTTTGCCTGTCTTTGAAGGGAAATACTTGTGAGAACACCAAGATAAATTTGTGATAATCCATCAAGAAACTAAAAATACACCACCTAGAGATGGCAGAGTTTGAAATGTTGGTTCATTATGGCTGCTAGTGATAAACCTTTTTTTTTTCTTCCTCTTCTAAGAGCTTCTGTCAAAGAGCTGCTTGAAACACTTTTTTTGGCAAACAAGAGTAGCATATAATCACAGTTTAACACGGTATATGTAGCCCAAAATATAGAGTGGGTTCAGTTGGGCTAGCGTGATTTGTTCTTTGTAACGTTGTCTATGGCAGGAGTCTTTAGAAAGAATTGCTAAATTCTGCCGTTGCTGTTGCAGGGACACTGATGTAAGTGCACTTGAGACCTCATATAGACTGTTCTCTATCTTTTCTAACTTAACTACTCATCTGACTCATTTCATCATAACCCTGAGATGTGTCCTGATTACAGGCTTCCCCTTATTCTCATCAGATGATATTGATAAGATGATGCCCTCAAATATTAACTGAACCAAAGGGAAATGTCAACAAATTTTAATGTCTTGGAAAAAATCCTGATAGATAGTGAAACTGTTTACCAAAAAAGAACTTTTTTAAAAAAATATTTTGTTTTATGTAGATTTACTTGAAAATGAAGTAGATATCCAGGTATGCTTCACTGTGTGGGTAATGCATTAAATAAAACATACTAGAAAAACTAGTGTTCTGATGGCTATGCAGTGTGAAACATAAAAGTATGAATTCAGAGATGATGTATCGTACTGCGTAACATGGAGAACTTGTCTAGATAGTAGGATTCCTGACAGTTACGCATGAACTGTAGTTCTGTTACAGCTCAGTGTAATATGGTTTGTGTCATCACCCAAAAGTTGAAAGCTGGGAGTACTTGCAAATTATTGAGAACCATTTTAACAGAATGCAACTGATCTTAAAAACGATTTTTTTACAGTGAGCTAAATTAAAAAAAAAAAAAAAAGTTGATACCTTTTCCTTCAAAAGTGTGACAAGTAAGGATAGTTTTTTGTGGACAGTCTATCACAAATCAGTAACATTTCAGTTTGGTTTTACAAGTGTGACCTTCTGTAGCTTAGGAGCCTGGCTTTCCTTTACCTCTGTGTAATTTTGGATGTTGTGGCAGCATCAGCTTCCCGCTGTTGACTAACGTTTAGATTAGAAGCTTGGAACTGAATTTAGAACTTCATGATCTCTGGCTAATGACTAGTGTTTAGTCAGTGTATGTTTGTCTTTGTGTGCATGCCCATGGTTTACAGGAAGGATGTAAAGGGAGGTGTGTCAGGGTTGGGGTAAGAACGAAGTCTGGACCTGGTTTCAGCGGTAAGTACAAGCACACAGGGATTTAACAGTCTAGTTACCTGCAGTACCATAGCGCCTGTGCATTATTTAGCGTGATTGTGCAAAGGTGAGTGCTTCCTAAGGAAGTATTGAGGGTAAATGTAGAGCAAGGAAGGGAGGTTTAATGGCGAGTGAATTAAGAGGAGTAAATATAGCCCTAAATGAATGTTGTGCATCTGCTTTTACTCTTACAATACTCAATCCAATTCCATCTTCTGTGATATGTCTGTACCAGTTGTATAACTTGGATCTCCTTAAGACTGCAATGAGAGCTGCAATTGCAATACCTGTAGGCATACCAGAGCTGGCTTTCACCTCGCTTGCTTGGGCTACCTGCCCAAGTAAATAAACACAGGGTGGGCTTGTGTGGCTGAGGCTGCTGTCTCTACTGGTACAATGTTAGTGCTGCCATTACTTTACTAACTAGATTAAATTCAGGCTTTACATGTGCTGCGGCCACACTTCAGTGGCAGCGTAGGCATACCCCAGCCCATGGTAAGGAGTGTAAGGAGTGTCAAGAAAAGGTCCCCTGTTCGTCATGGTCCAGTTCAGAGAGAGTCCTCGTCCTGATCTTTTGGAGCTTGATCTTCCAGTAGTTGCTACCATGGTGAAACATCTAAAGCATCCAGCTTCAGCTGCACTGAGATTTCATCTATTGGATACCACTCACGCAGTCATTGAGGCTAGCATTTTTGAGAATCTCTGGCAGTACCTCCAACTTTTTGGATTCAGTGAGTGTGATTAAGGTGCTATATGTAACACTAGCTAGCGAGTTTCTTTTGTCTCTAACTTAGAAAGTAAATAGCAATTAGTTTGAAGTTTGTTAACTTAAGAAATAACAAGGGCAACTTTAATTTTTAATAGCTTCATTTTGAAGCCTATGCTATAAAATTTCCATCCCCTGGCCATCCAGTGTTTTTCAGTGATGTTTTTGATTTCTGACCTTTAAAACAAGGACTTTTATTTCTTACTTCTCTTGCATAATCCTTAGACGTATGTGAGGCTTGGAAGGGCACAGTGAATCCTGTTTTCAGTCTTATTTTCAAAGAGATAACAGCCCCATGTAGAGGCTACTCAGTTTTTCAGAAAGCTGCAATACTGCTACAGGCAGGTAACCTCCCTCTAGCACTGGCGGAGCATTTCTGGTGGCTGAAATATTTCAGCAATGCTGAAAAATGTTAAAAGTATCTAAGAGAAAAGATTTTGCAGATTCCTTCAGGTTCTCTGAATTCCTTTCTGCAGGTCATAATATAGCGCAGATTTTGTTAATAAAATCTTGCTGGCTCAACACCTTGTTTCTTTTAAAAGGATTTTGCTTTCTTCCAGTTTTTGTCATCATTTTAAACAACAGTTCTAAAATGCTGAATATAATTCTTGTGTTAATTTAGGTCAAACAAGGAGCTGGTTGTAAAAGAACATGAAGTTTAAAAATACTTGCTTAATGTACATTAACTGCTCCAATGCTACAGGATGAGCACCAAAAAAAAAAAGTCCTTCCTTTTCTTTCAAATGGGATATTTAACTTCAGTGTTAACCAATTCAATCATCATACTGCAGTCTGCAGAAGTTAGTTGTTTCAGGGCTAATTTCACGTATGGAGATAGAGTAAATAATGAAGAAAGAATGAATGTAAACCATCACCAAGCATATTAGTGGTTTTGTAAGATCTCTAACTAAAAAGCTACCAGCCTAATCGCTGAATATATAACTTGTACTCGGAAATACTTTCATCTACTGCATATTGTCTTTGACCTCAGTTCTCTTAAAGCACAAATTTTACAGCTGTCCTGCTGCTGCTGCTTTTTCCTGCAGCAAAACCAGATGAAGTAGAAATAGCCTTGGTGTTTGAACCATAGAAGCTAGAAAAAAGTATTTGGTCATACTTGCATGGGCTTTCACAGCTTTTTATTTAAATAGTCAATTTGGGTATTAGATGAAGCTCAACTCACACTATTCTAGAGCATTCTGCATAGTCATGTGGCTGAGCAGTTTTATTGTTTTGAATGACATTATCAGCATTTCTCTAATCTTAAGTGGTATCACTATTTGTGGACGCATGTATGTGGACATACCTCCATAAACCAACAGAACAACATACAGACCTGTTTCCTGTATCAGTAGGTTTAGCTGATGCATGTTTAATGCTGAGCATCCTTTTGAGATTGAAAGTGGATGGAAATAGTGCTGAATAATTGGCTTGCTGTTCAATAATCTAGAAAACATCCAGCCCCATGTCAGTTCAGAAGGTGATGAGCAGCTTTAAAACTTTAGTTACTTGCAGAAGTACCTAATTTGTTATTTAGATGGCTATTAGCTATTCAAATTTGAAAGTCATGGTTGTACTTTACAGTATAGCTTGACAGCTTCCAAGCCCTGTGCAGATAGTATCTTTAAGCTTCTAAGTTCCTGAAGGACAAGAAACAAAGTGAAATTTCTAGGTTCATAGCTGACATGAGTGATAGCTTCTTTAAGTCTAGTAAGTAAATGTTGAATTATTGCTTGCTTTGCAGAGAGCTTGCTGTGTCTTGTGGTAACCTGTAAATGTCGTTTGCAAAATCACATGTCATACCATGACCTTAATCATGCTAACATCGCTTGTTAATTGTTCATCTCCAAGCTTGGGCAGAAATGCTGTTTGATTAGAGCCTGATTTTGCACTGTGATTGTAAATAAAGATAATGATACCATCATATAGCATTGCTTTCATTAAAGATTGATTTATATGCTATGATTTGTTTTTTCTTTTTTCTGCACAGATGATCGTGTGGTTGGAGAAAATGCTAGATAAAATAATCAGCATTTTCATAATATTTTTGCTAGTGATAGGAACCCTTCTGCTAGCCCTGCTCCTTACTGCAAAGGTACAGTGCCCTAAGGAATGTAATCATAGAGCTCATTTTAAATGCTGAATGAAAGTTACTGATGTTTATGCAAAATTGTGTAGCTTAAAATTTGTTTTGAAAAATTTAGCAACTAAATGCTCTGGAGTTGAACTTGTTACCATTCCATGACTTCTTATATATAAAAATCTATACATTTATTTGTATTTATGTGTTTATTTACATATATAGAAAACCTAATACATAGACATTTGGAAATAAAAAATTTATTCTAGTAAAAGAATTACTAGCTTATATATTACAGGAACAGATTTGGTTTGCATCTTGCTACACTTTTCTTGTCAACAGCAGAGCCACTTAGAATATTTTCTTTTTAATTTACCTTGCATATTTGCAAAATGCTTAAGGTGTATTTGTCAATTTGTCTGTGTAATTGCCTGCAATAACCTCATAGTATCCTGTTCTAAGTTTAAATGTACTGAAATTCGTGATCTGATGTTCTCTGATTTTTGGTTTGTGGTTGGGGTTTTTTTTTTTTTTGCTTGCCAGAAAAGGTCCCTCATTTTCTTTTTTTTTTTTTTTTTTTTTTTTTTTGAAATAGAACTGTATTCATACTTGAAACAGTCAATGGAGATTGAATGTTTGACTTGAATACAGTTATGGAGCAAAAATCAATGGGTTCTGATGTCGATCTCCTTTTTCCAAAATGCAGGCTTATATAATGTTGAGTACTTAAAATTGAAAGTTTTAAAAGTTGTGCAAACATTCCTGCCTAAAGCTTCCTTTTATTCATAAAGGGAACATCAAGATACTTATAAAAAGTGTCTTTTATCATTCTTATTGAAGAATTAATTTGGTGAGGCACCTCATAGCATGGATGGTCATGTTAGAGCTGAGCATTCATTAATTTTTACACTTCTTTGATCCATGGCTTGAAAACGCGTGTCTGAAACTGTGCTTTGTATTTTAGTACTTCCCTTGACAGCACTGCTGTATTGTTAAATTTATTTCCACTGATGAGATAAGGTTTAAATTTCCATTTGCTATTATTAGTCACACAGTGTGTGACCAAAATTGTCAGAACAGATTGATGATTATTGTATTGACTGCTTTTTTGGGTTAATGGCACCTCATTCTTCATAATGGGTTGTCTGCGTCAGAAGAATTAGTCTTTAAAAAGTACAAACTGGTCACCCCCCTCCGTCCTCCTCCCCCCCCCAGCCAAGGGGGGCGGGGGGGGAAAGCTTCTCTGAATATAGGAAGAATTCTAGTTTGCATTATATAACATTTCTCCTCTCTATATTTACTTTAGGTACATCAAGAGAGTGTTCACATGATTCAAGTCACAAGCAGCTTGATAAATGAGACAGTAGCCAGTCACCCAGAGTGGGCAAAGTAAGAATGCTGAAGTTAAGCGAATAGTATAGGGTGGATGAACAAGCTTCCAGGTGCTCTTATGCATAGTTTTTAATTTAAAAGAAATCCCCTAGGTGAAGAGAAACGGGAGTGACTGTTACAGGCAGATGTAAAAGCTAAACTCTCAGGCAGCAGCGGTGTTTATGCATTACTCTAGAGGACTGTCAATGTGGTATCTCATTTGAGGACTGGTTGGACTTTTCAGGAGAACAACAGCTGTATAAAGTTCCCTAGTTACGAGTTTTGGAGGAAAAACTTGCATAGTGCAGAGAATGAAGAGATCAATATTCTTTTTCCTTTTGCCTGCAGAAAAACAGTAATGGCAAAGAAAGTTCTCTGTAGAAGGTTGTGAGATGAGAGCTGAATTATTTTTTCAATGTGGAAAGCTGGCTGCAGAATGCCTTTAAGGGAACAGGAGTTAAAGAAAATGTTTTTGGAGTGAACTGAAGGAAGAGGTCAAGGGTGGAAAGAATGGTGGATGGGGAGAGTTTGGTATGAATCAGTTGGGAAGGGCTGTTCCTATTAAGAGTTGGTATGTCTAGTTCATGCAGTGGGAATTTTATAAGATACGGTGTATGTAAAGATTAAAGCAAACACCAAGGCAAATATTAAGGGAGAGAGAAGATGTCGAGAGAAATGCATACAGAGAAAAACAAGGGCGCACTGGTGAGCAAAGAAGTGATTGCACAAACAGCAGAGGGGGAATAGGCAAGACTGAACAGTGTGATTGGGTGGGGAAGGGATATTCCTGTTTGCTTTCATTCTGCTTCAGCTAAGCAGACATTGAGTAAAGGTGAGTCCAGGCACTTACCAGGAAAAAAGAATTGTCTCCTGGATAAGAATGGTTGACTTTTTTCCAAGGGCACTTTCTAAACAAAAGTCACGACGGTTTAACAGGACTGAAAGAAAGCGCATACTGTATTGTAAGAGCAAGAGAAAATTTCAGAAACAACTGAAATGATAACAGTTAATAAATGCTACAGTAATATGTGCTTTAGCAATACTTAAGTAATCACAATCAAGACAACAGAAAGCTGTTAAAAATGTGTTTGTTTATTCCTTCATGGCACCCTTTGTGGTGTTTGGCCTTTCCATGTTGCCATAAGATGGAAATAAGTAGGACTAATGAAAATGGAAATTTGACTGTCGGAAGCTTATTCACATAATGAAAATACTGGAGTACTAGTTGAGTAATTGGCAGAATTTTAGCTAAAATTTTTACTTCTAGTGTTTGCATCCAAATTTGAAGTATCCAAAACACTATCTTTTAATTCATTAGGAGTAAGTATACCTCTTCTCAAATTCATCAGCTTTCAGAGCTTGGTGCTCACATTAGGTTTAGAAGTGACTGACTGGGATGTCTTGGAATTCCAATGTGGAACACTTCTGAAGGATTATACAGACAGAAAAGCTTCCATGTTGATCTTCAGTCAGGTGAACAAATGCAGCAGTTTTATTTCCCGAATGCTTTCTTGTTTTGGAAGGGCTCCAACGTGTGCCATTGAATCAAGATGCAGAAAGAAAGTCAAAGCAGAGAATGTGTGCGCTGTAATCGCAAGTGTTGAAATGCTGGCAACTCAGTAGGTCCGTTGCTTGAAAGTGACGTGAATCCCTGAAGAAATTAATGAGCAGATAGTTTGGTGGCGACTTAGAAACAACTGGTGCCCAAACCTGTTGCTTCATCTGGTCGCTTTTTCAGGGAAACTACGTTAACAGTTTACATTGAGCTTGTAATTCAGAAGGTTGTCTTTGCAGCTAGACGAGACTGCTTCATATAGTCTTTTCAGAAAACTAGAACACTAGGAAAATTTCTAAGAGTATAGTGTCAAAGCACGCTATTGAAGAGCAGATAATAGCATAATTGAAGAGCAGATCTCTTTTTCAAAAGCTGAGATACCAATTTAACTAAGGTTTCAGGAACCTTAGAGAATTCCATGTGCAATGACGTGCCCTATATTTAATTGTGCTTTGCTTATGAGAAGGCCTGTTCCTTAATATGTAGGAGGAAATATTCTAGTTGTAGTAAGCTTAATATGTATTTAACTGTAACTGTTGTTTCAGAATGTTAATTTGTAATGTAGTTTGGGGGTAATGAAATGGGAAAATACGTAGCAGTTAACTTTGTTTTCCTTCTTTAAAAAAACCTAGCTGGCTCCCAGAAGCCCAGGTTATTCAGAAGGCACTCAATTCAGCAGCTAATAATGTATACCAATATGGCCGAGAATGGATTACACATAAGGTAAGAGTGAGCTCCTCCACCTTTTTTCATGTTTTCAGAAATAAAAACCTGAATTTTGTAAAAATAAAAGAAAAATATTTTTGTCAGTGATCCTTTTCTGTGTGGTTAACTATTTTGTTGACAGATCTATTCTTTCTGCTCTCTAGTTTGTCAGTTGGAAGAAGGACAGGGGAGTGATTTTAGTAGTCTTTTCTGCTCAGAGGAATATTTATTTTTAAGAACTGAAAAATCTGTCATATTTTTGATAAGATTGCTAGTGAGAATGCATCAAAGATGAGTAATTTTTTTTCATCTGTCTTTAGCTGTCCAGTTTTAGACAATGTAGACTTAAGGGTTTTTTTTTTTCCCCCCTACTCATATTCTAATTTCTTTGTGGGCTGGGTGTGGTAGATTGGATTTTTAAAAAATTATAATTTATTTATTTAAGTTAACTTTCTTCAGGAGAATTTGCCAACATTCTTATTTATATATTTTGATATCTAGCACTCATCTCAAATTATTTGAAATATTCACTCTAAAGATGATCAGCTTAGTGCAGTAGAATCATTTTTTCACAGTCAAAATCTTCATGTTGTGAACAATGTTGTCTGAAGTGTGTATTCCATACTGATACTCAGCTTTTCTAATCATTTAGATTTAAGCCATGCCTTTACTGACACTCTTATGTGATTCATCTAGGTTGGAGTTTGTCAGTAGATGCCAGCTTCATTCTATCCTGTATAATAAAAGATTTCTATATGTTTTAGCTCCATAAGATTTTAGGAGAAAAAGTGAATAACACCGCTGTGATTGAAAAACAAGTGCTAGAGCTCTGGGACAGGCTTTATCACTCTTGGTTTGTGAAGGTAGGTGACTTATTTAAATGCTATTTATATAAACTATCACGTAGCACTTTGAGATAATTATGTTAAGTATGCATTTCTGAGGAAGAGATTAACGAAAAGTTGGAATGCTGAGTAAACATCATAATAAAAAGTTGGTAAAAATTTCAAGTGTATAAGGTAGTTCATTCTACAATCACAGTTTGGGTACAGTCAGAGCTATGTCCTTCACTTAAGTACTTACATGTGGTTTTATGTATGCCATTTAATTTATGCTTTGCTGACTTCTTATATTTAATATTTCATAGTTCAGAGGTTTCTGTTGAACTTTCGTGGCCTTGAGGGGTTAGGAGAAGGAAAGTGGTATTCTGCATGGTTTGTGTAACTTTTATTAATTGGAAGTTTTGAGAAAGAAATTGTCTTTGCACTAAGTTTCTTAGAATGCATTTTTGCCAACTGTACTAGCGTTCCTATAATGGGTTCTGCACACTGAATCTTGAAAAGTTCATAAGTTAAATAATTTTTCACGCTGGCAATGCTATTTGCCTTTTAAAGGAAAAAGCAATTCATGAGGCATGGTTCAATAGAAATATCAAAATCCAGAACTCATACCCCTGAAATACTGCTGTAAATTTAAATAATTGCAATTATAGTATATTAAAGTACCTGTAAAGTTCCAAGAATATTTCTGTATTAAAAGAAGTAAGAGCTTCAGTATAGTAGTCAAAATAGAAGGGGAAAGAATCAGTTTCATTTTCTGACAAGATAATGCTGTGGAAGAACGTGTGGAGAGAGAACATGATGCTGTTGAGGAATATGGGAGCACTGAAGAGAAATTTAAGCTGTAACTACAATAGATTTTGCTGGTCTTAAGCACTTGGGAGTATTCAGTGCTAAATGCTTGACCAAGAAAAGCACCTACTTTTGATAGAGTTATACTGGTAAACCTATTACTTTTGCTAATATAACCTGTGTGTCAAATGGTCCGTAGCACTGTATCATTCAGTAGGGCTCTGTTCACTACATGTGCTGTAGGAGAACTTTTATTGCTGTAGTATGCAGCACAGGTTGTGTCTCTGTTTGGTGAGTTACGCTATTTCTTTCCTATAGCTGTTGTTTGAGGGAATACTGTGAGGCCTCTTTCTTGTAGATGCTCTTCTGGTAGGGTAAGAAACAGCTTTCCTAGCAACCAGAACGGCAGAAAGAGCTTCAGGACCGCACTGATGCTCGCTGCCTACAATCTTGAGGTCTGTTCCCTGGCTGCTGTTTGCATACTAGACACCTTATGTTACCATTGGCATGCTGGGCTGCAAGCGATTATCTGCAGGCTGCAGGTAACTCCTCCGGAGTCTCTTTCTAATCTTGCCCCTTCTGTCGCACTCCATATCCACATAAATGTCTCATCTGAGTGCTTTCCACCTGGCTGTTTCCTTCTGTAATATTACAATAGCCTTATGTGGTCCTTCAGTGTATCTGAAAACTGCCAAACTAGATGATAGTGCCGTGTGGAGGACATCAGTACCATATCTAGCTTTCTTAGTACAACTTTCAAGCTCCCCACTGTTTCAGTTGTATGAGCTTAATAATTACACTTCATTTTGAGTCCCGCATAGTGTTGCTCTAGTCTGTAGGTGACTGAAGAACCCAGACTCAGGTGATACTTCCATGAAAGCTGTAGAATTGAGGAAGAATTGCCGACAAAATGGGGATTCAACAATTAACTGCTACTTTCTGAGAAGATCAGTAGGTAGCAAATATTTTAAAAGGTTCTAGAGGTGGTGTGATAGATCAGTTACTATTGCATCTACGTACCCAGTGAAGTAAAATAGTAACAGAATAATAAACCTCTTGGAAGATGATGGCATAACTCTGCAATCAAGGTGTTTTTTTCAAGGCCAAGAATCTCCTCTTCCTAGTCCATTCAGGTGTGGGGTTTTGTTTTGTTTTTAGGATCTAGTGAATTTGCTGAAGAGGAACCAGTTGACAATTTCTTCAAATCCGTTATTTGTCAATGCCTGAGGCCTTAAGTGCTACAACAGTATAGTTGCGGAATAACAGTGAACTGGAAATGTGTATTAATAACAATGTTATAAAATTTGCAAATCATACCTAATTCTGCTAGTTAATGGCAAGAGCTGTCTTTGAAAATAGAACTAGATGAACAGAAAATAGGTTCTGGTTACAGTTTACAAATACAAAAGGCCTATCGAAGGGAGATTTCTGACTACCCGTATCTTTCTGCCTTAAGTAAACTGCCAGCTCAGAAGAAAGATTTCTGTGTTGCTGTGGATTGTTAAAGAATGTTGCCAATTGTGCATCATAAAGTGTAACAATACATCTAGGGAGAATTGATAATAAGCAGAAAATTTAATACTCTTAGATAAATCAATGCAGGAACTTCACTGGGAATACTATTTTACATGTATGCCAAAAAAAATACTGTCATTTCGAATGCAGGCTAGTAAGGTTATAAGTTTTTTGAAAATTCAAACAGAAGTAGTGGGACACTTATATAAACAACAGAGTTCAGAACTTGAGAAGCCTCTTGCTCTTAAAGATTAGGATGAGGTCTGTTGTAGTTTGCTTAGACTTGCTTACAGTAGAATTTTGGCATCCTTCTGTGGAACATTTGTCACAGTCCCAGACGGAGTCAAATAGTCTCATGCTAGATGGTAACCAAGTGTGATTCAGTTAGACAACAGGCAGCTTCGTAGTTAGGGTGAAGGAATTAGCTGTTGTGGTTATGGCCATTTCAAGCTGCCTTGCTGTGTTGCAGTTACAAAACCGTGTAGTCAGAAGAAATCCGTGCTTCCAGGTTAACTTTTAGCTTTCTCAGGACTGAACATTGCCAGTGGAGAAGTAGATGCTGATTGTGAGAAAACTACTTGTTTTGGCTGCTGCTTGTGTTTTCCTTTGTGGGTTGTACTTGGAAAAGTTGCATGTTGCAATCAGTAAATTATGTAGGCAGTAACTGAAATCATTACCTCTTTCTTGTGTGCTTTCATAAAGAGGAAGATAGATACCATTGTATCAGTCAAGCAATAAAGCTAATGTTTAACTGAGGTAAATCAGTACAATATAGAGAACTGTAATTATATAGGATAATTAACTGCAGTTTTCTGTCAGATTTTATTTTTTCCAGTGTACAGAGTACTTCCAGGTATTTTTTGAGGATGCCAATTAAAGCAGCTCTAAGTGTTTAGATGCATATTGGATCTTTTCCTCATTAAGGAAACATTAGTCTTTGGCTTTCTTGTATCTGTAAGTTATTCAAATGTGTGTTTTCTTTATGTCTTTGTTTTTAAGAATGTAACACATTCTGGAAGACACAAAGGACACAAATGGCACATAAACCGTCAAAACAGCTGGCTTGGTGATATTCTGGACTGGCAAGATGTTGCATCATTTGTTCACGATAACATTGAAACATTTCTTTCGGTATGTATTTTTTGCCGTTATTACCAAATTGGTCTCATTTTTAGCTGACAAGAATTCCTCCTTAGACTACCACTAAGGTTATGAATTCAAGTAGATGGAAAATTATGGAAACACTGTAAGTGTTACTTACAATTACCTAAGCAATTATTGTAAGCCTACTTAGGATAGAACCATGCTACAAACAGAACTGATTGTGATGAAGAGGCCCTCTTGATTTCAGCATCTTCATTAATAATCACTTCTCAGACTTCTTCCTGAGAGAGATTTTTACTGTAGGATTATCTCTGTCACCTGCAAGCTGGTTTTAAACGCTTTATATTATGTAGTCTTTTCTTTTTAAAAAAGAGACCAATCTGTCTAGATTGTAGTTGAGAAAACTATTGGCCAAAAGGTTGTGAAAACAAAACACAGTTGTTGTGGTTTTTTTTTTTTGTACTCTTACTGTTTTTTTTCCTCCTCAAATTATTATTTATTGAGTTGAAAGCAGCTTATTTCTCTCTCCTTTTATGTAAGTTCTGTGGAGAATGAAATTAATATTTTACATTGTGAGAATTCCTGAATTAATGCACTCGACCTTTCACGTCATGAGGAGAAAAAGAAAAAGCATTGAAAGCAATCCAAACTGATGCAACTACATTGCTCTGAAAAATTATGTTAAGTCTGAAATGCTTAATATACAGAGTCAATCCCTGATATAGTTCGTCTTTGACTTGAGCTGTTGTTGTAAATTAGACGTATCTTCAGGTTACTATTTATCCATTTTGGAAGAGTATTATTTATACCTAACTTGCAATATAATGTTTCATTGGATGCAATAAAGCTAGTATTTGCCTTGAGGCAGTTCTTGGTCTAGACTGATAGGTGTGTGTGCTTTTTCTGTCCTCCCTCAACTGCTGCTTAAATGGTTACAGCTTCTATCATAGAAGATGATGTGAGTCATGAAAAAGTTGAGAGAAACTTTTTATTGCAGTGATACTATTTTCAGTTAATAGTGAAATTTGCTTAATACTTTCTCAGTTGACCATGCATGCTTGAGGCAAAGTTAAAAAAAATGCACAACACATCATCCTTTAAAATCAATATGAAGTTTCCTTCTAGGCAAGAGGTAGAGAAGGAAGAGAAACTACTTGATAGGTGCTAGCCAAGTAATTTACAGCATTGCTGCACAGAGCTCAGAAACTGTGATGATAAGTGTGCTTCAGTAATCTAAATAGGCTAGAATAATGCAGGCAATAGTGTAAAGAGAATAAATATTTGAGACTGAAATACATTAATATTAAATTTTTCATCTAGCTAGCATGCTTTGCGTTACTTCTGAAGTCTGGTTTAGAAGTTCAGGATAAAAAGTGCTTTCCTGTTTATTTCCATGAACTCATTACTCATCAGCTCTGGGGAAACACCTGTCCTTTTTCTCCATACACTTGTGTCTTTAATGACAGACTATAAACCAGTCGGCATAGTATCTAGCTTTAAATCCTGATTTCACATCCTTGCTGGGCAGCATTTTCTTTGCTGGCTTGCTCATACACAATGCATTGCATAAATCTTATTCGCACTGATATTTCAAATTCAAAATTGATGAAAATCTGATTTCTGTGCTTGTTTAGGTCATTAAAACTTGGAGATGATGAAAATAAAAATAGTTTTGACTTAAGTCTGGTGTTTCTAAGCAAGTTGCTTACCTCCCCTAGGGTACAATGGAAGCTTACTGTATTTGGGATTTATGTTTTTGTCAGAGCATGAAAATCTTTCTCTTGGTATTCTGAAGAGGAACAGTGAGTTATTAGAATGGCATACTGAATTGGGAAGGATCAATATTTCAGATTATGTGGGTACTTTTGAGGGGGGTTGTTTGGGGGGGGATGTTTGGGGGGGAGTGTTCTCTTTTCTTTTGAATGGATTTTGTTTGTGTTTGGGTTTTTTTTTTTGCCTTTTTTGTTTGCTTTTTTGTGTTTTGTGGGACTTTGGTTGTGGGTTTTTTTTGGGGGGTTGAGTGTGTTGTGTATGGTGGGAATAGTAGGGGGGGTTAGTGGGGGAGTTTAAATAGATTAACTACAATTCAAACTGTACAATGTTCCTGCATTTGGACATTTGAAATCAATGCTAACGTGCAATTCTTAAGAATGTAGCAAAACATGGTACAGTCCCAAAACTGCTTTGACAGTTTTTTTTAAAACACAAACCATTTAAAGACAATGAGATAACTGTAAAGAAGTGTGTGTGGATATGCAGCTATAGTGAGATTTTCTCCACTTTTGGAAAAGAATAAGATTACACTACTTATTCATAATAAATATTTATGCATAGATTGAGGCTAGGGTTTAACATAGAATAACTGTCTTGCTAGGCCCTTGCCTTTCCAAAATATTTCAGAATGGTACGGATGACTCTCTATTCTCTGAAAACACAGCTATTTGACAGTGTCATATTGCAGTCACAAGCAGATAAGCTCTTTTCCATTGATGGAAATCATAGGAAGTGTTCATCTTCTTTAGTAAGAGAAGGAGCATTTGCTGTAAGAAAAATGTTAAAAGAAGATAGATGCAAGTATTTCACTTCAGGATTCTCCCATAGTGCAAGAAACTTTCATATTAGAGTTGAAAGCATATAATTAAATCACTGATATAACTGTTCTGGGGAGGTACTGGCATTCATTTAATTGGTAACAATATGCATTGATTCAGTACTTTAACTCTGAGTATCAGATAAAGCACAGAATACTTCTGTACCTCCTTCAAAATGTGCGGTTAATTATAGCAATTATACTTAGCTCTAGTTTCCTGTAGACAAACCTTAATTATTTTAAAGTAATTCACTATACAAACATGTAAATTGCCTCAAGATTTAATATGAAGATAAGCTTTTCCAAATCATCCATTTACTTTTTTCTAAAAGCTTTGGTGTTAGCAGCAGTGCTGCCTTTCAGCTTCAGATTTTTCCAATATTCTTCAGAAGCAGTAGTGTTACAAACCAGTTTATCCAGTGATGTGTTTCTGAAGTGGGTTTTATTTCATCAAACTCTTAATTTGGGGAGAGAACTAGGGTGGATGCTCACTTATGCCTCGAATTTTGCACTTCATGCTCTATTCTAAGGTAGTTTTTCAGGTCAATGAAATTTGCAATACCTAGCTGTACTATTAAGATTTAATTTCTGAAAAATAAAAGCCTCATTCCTTCCCCACTCACCTGCTTTTCCATTCATACCCTTTTCCTCCATTTCTTGAAGTCTTGAAACCTTGAAAAGGTAAATGGCTGCTGGCTAAAGCAGGTCATTAGGCATTGGAATGGGCTACCCAGGGAGGTGATGGAGTCCCCATCCCTGGAGGTGTTTAAGAAAAGACTGGACGTGGCACTTAGTGCCATGGTCTGGTTGATATGGTGGTGTTAGGGCAAAGGTTGGAATTGATGATCCCAGAGGTCTCTTCCAACCTCATCAGTTCTGTGATTCTGTAAATCTCTGAATGATCACTCAGAACTCCCTTGATGGTATATGAGCTATTGCTAATGTCTCCTTAAATTGGTCTTTTTGCTTCTTGCACAAGAATATTCATCATTCTACCTGCAGACAGTATCTCATTCAAGATTTCCCAGATAGGAAGACAGAAGACCAACTATTAAGACATACACAGCGAGCTTCAGCTCAGTTTGGTTTCTCTGTGTGTGCCTTTAGCATGACTGATCTTTGTGTTCCATATGAAGTCAGTTTCTCAAATATTTCACTGAGTTACCACATATCCTGATGTTTTCTCTGGCTCTGAGAATTTCTTCAAGTAATCTCCTAAATTTATAGATAATTAATTTATAGTCCATTCTTCAATAGTAATTCAACTACTATGCGTTGTGGGTTTGGTGGGTTTTTTTTTTTTGTAAGGTAAGCATTCAGAGGTTTCGTGTTCTCTTGTTCATAATGGGTGTTGTTTTTTTCAGAGTAGGTGAAATTCAACCTGATGTATATTTTTAGAGGAGGAGTTGATTCCTTTACAATCAGAAAGTCAAAGACATGATGCTGGAGGGTAGTCCTTTTTCTGTTGTTGTTTTGTCTCAGCTTCATGTAATGGTCAAGCAAAGATTTGTTTGTTTTGTTTGTGGGTTTTTTGGTTTTGTTTTTCTCAAAAATAAACTGTTGAGCCCTGAAGGGTTACCCCAGAACTTTATGGGTAAACATTTATTTGGAAATCAGCTTTTAATTGCAGGAGGAAGCCTTTGATCCTGTACGTACTGTATTATTCTTCACAAAGTCCATTGGTTGTCTTCTACCTTCAAGGTTTATTGACTTGTTCTGTTGCTGTCATTTTTGAGTTGTCAGGATGATGTATCTTTCTGAACAGAAGAAAAAATAGAAGTATACAGAATGACAAGTTTTTTTCCTAATACCTCTTTGTGTCCAGTTTTATTCCCTTTATAAATCTGTTAATGATCTCTATAATCAAATTAGGTACATGACTTTACCTGGCTTCCAGAAGTTTGTTAACTTAAAGTTCTCAGTGGAATAACTTCTTTTGGTCAAGTGCCTTTTAAACCTTGCTTTCAGGTTTAAGTTTAAGTGGCCAATAGGACACCTTAGGTGGGCAAGAACATTAATTTTGATTTCTGGCCTGTTACACATTGGAAGGGCACAGCAACTGGTGCTGATGGTGACACATCATGGTGTGATGCATAAGGGAGTCTTGAATTCTGTACAGCTTCGTAACTCTTTTAAACTGATCTCTTAAAGCTTCTTACAAAGCAGTGTTTTGAGGAAAGAGGTGTGTGTTTTCAGTTATTTAATAACCGTAATATTAAAAATATCATTATTGCATAAATATTCACATGTAATTGTGCTTTGGAGAGCTGGTCTCAGCTGGCAAGATTCATACATAGTATTAGAAATTGTTCATACATAGTAACTGAGCTCATTAATTCAGCTGCAGTATGCTCTGGGAATCAAATGGTGTTTTGAACTCTTAGATGTAGGTACATGTATTTTGATTTTGTGACTGTTAGTGAAGTATTTGGTCATTTTCTGATACTGTATTCAGTAATGATTAATGTCTGCTATGTCTGTCTTCTCATCCCAGTGATGAGAAGCATGTGTCTTGAAATTTTAGTGGTACATAGGCATAAAGAGGAACTTAGTCTATAGGTGTAGACAAGTCCTGAAGGATGCACTTGCTTTCATAAGACATACCAAAGTTTGAGCAAAAGGCAATATCTGCACTTACTCTAAAGCAAATGCTAGGGATAACTAGTTCAACAGTTTCCCATCAATGACTCTACCTAACAATGATGTTCTTCTAGGAGAACCAGTCCCAATATTGATTAAACCACCTGATAACTGCATTTAAACTAACTCCAGTTGTATACTGCTGGTTATCAGCTCCATAGGCTAAAGCTTCTAGGGAAAGTGTTAAATACATACAACCTATACTGGAAGAACATACTATTTTGAAGGAAACTTTCTCAGCCCCCACTACATGTCTGCTCTCTTATAGCAGGTGAAATAAGCCCCTTTCCTTGTGAATCGCTCGCCAATATCAGCTCAGCTAATGTGTTGCAAGTGAAGGTGTGTGTGGGAGGGAATTAACGATTGCTGTGATTGGTATTTGGAAGACTGATAAATCAGGCTGGTTTTAATCTTTAAAACAAAACGTTCATTAACACACTTCATGCTAATGCTTTGTTTTACAACCTACTACTTGTTACCATTCTGTATTCAAAGTGGTCAGTCCTACATGAGCTGTGAAGATAGAATACCATCGTGGTAATGCTGTGTAGTTGGCACCAGTAGCCAATATCCTTAGTGGTCTGAGTCGCAGAAGTCAAAGTGAGCAGGCTCAAGAGCTCTTAAATAAGGAAAGCTGGAACTGAAATGGACATCATCTTTCCTCAAATTAAGAAGCTTGTCCTTTTATAAGTTGTTTTTGTTTCTGGACAACTCTTACCCCTTGACCTCTGCTCTGGACTGTATCCTGTGTGATACCTGGAGAGGCATTACTTTGCCAGGTCATGGCAGGTGCCTTATCCTGTTGCTTGCCTGTTTGTTTTGGTTTTGGGTTGTGTTTTTTTTTTCCCCCTTCCTTAGTCGCTACTGTATTTTTTTTTAAAGCAAAAGCAGTCTTTTCCTAGCTGTTAAGGTTGTGCATCTTCAATGCCTTCTTCCTCAATGTTATGTTTCAGGTGCCTTGTTTTCAACCTGTGTCCCTATTTTCACGGCCTTTGCCATTGTTCTGTGATTAAACTCCACATCATAACAGGAGACCTGTGGCACCAAGCTCCTGTTCATATGCCAAGTTCTAGTAACAAGCTTAAAGATCTGGGACTGGAGCCTTGCACAGTTAGCATACAATTTATGACCTGTTATTAGCAATGGCAGTACTATTTTTACTGAGTACCAACTGAAAGGCCTCTACTGTAGCTACAAACCAATCCCTCAAAAATCACTATCCTCTGTGTTTACAGTCCTCATACTGTAATGTACATTTAATAAAGTTACCTGGTGGCTGCATGACCTTATACCACTACTGCACCCCCAGAATGATTTCTTAATCCATAGAAGGAGGAAGGGGACAGGTACCAGTGGGAGAACATTTTTTTTTCAGCAGACCAACCTCTTCACTTCTAACCTCACTTGAATTCTCAAGAGAGACTGATAAAATCTGTTGAAAAGATGAGTCTTAAAATTCATAATTCCCATTAAATAGTAAGAAGCATGAACTAAGTAGATACTTCCAGTTTTACTATGTGTTGTAATTCCCTGTCACTTCCCCCAGCACTTATTCCCTCCCAAGTTTATGCTTAATAAATTATCTTCTATATGTTTCACTCAGTTCCAAAGGAGGGGCGATCACATGGCTCACACTGCTTTATCTGCTCTAAAAATGCCAGCTACTGGTTTCTTTTTGTTTGTTTTGGGTTTTTGTTTGTTTGTTTATTTGTTTTAATTCAGTCTAGCTGATTAAGATATTGATTAAACCAAGAGTAACTTGCTAGTTTTGTAGTCTTCACTTACAACTTTGAACCTGGAGAAGGGCTTTTGTGTCAGAGCTTTTACAGTCTTTCCAGTTATATTAGTTAGTCTGAAAGAAGGTGTGGCTTTTTGTTTGTAACCTTGCTTCTTTTTTATGTTTGAATCACTTTAGCTGATACATTCTTACTGTATTCCTTCTGAATGAAATATTTGTTATGAAACTACTGTGTATTGCATTTAGGATGCCTCCATGTGCCATACCATGCCTTTATTTCCTTAATGTCTCATGAAGTTGCTGGCATATTCAGATTGATGTGTCTGCATCCATACATAAACTAGTTTGCTGTAGTGGGTATTTGTGTGTTTAAAGGCACGTGTCAAAACTACTCTTTACTATCTGTAACTAATAAGCAATCAGTTCCCCAAGCCAGTACAAAATTTGATGGATTGTCTAGCGTTGTTTATTTTCCATAATTACTTGACTGACTGATGCATCCTTACTCAAATTCACAACTTGTGTAGTTGTCTGCAGACATTATAAAAATCATGCATCTCATTACCATAAAACATTTTGAAAACAAATTTGTTAAAGTAGTAATTCTATTATTTGATTTGAAGCTGTCTTCAGATTTATTTCTACCTTGTGATGTTACTCCTTGTTCTTCATGTTTTAGCATTTCTACTTTTGAAAAGATGAATTTTCTCTCCCAAGACAAGATCTGCTTTCAATTGATGGTGATGTTAATTGCAATAAACAAGCATCACTCCATGTAGCTTTTTTGCAATTTTACATAATGAAATAATTTTGAGCATTAGGAGAAAAATTCTAAAACCTTGTAACCATCTACCTAGAAACTTGTCTTTGGTAAAGTAGATGTTTTCATTTGATATTACCTGCTGTAATTTAGGAGTGAGGGAAAATGATTTTTTAAAAAAAAGTCCTTTTTGTATGGCTTGATGGAGATGAATCACTCTATAAGCAGTTCTCTGTCATAACTAGTACCATCCGATGCCTGACTTTGTCTTTGCTTCCCTTTCCAGATCCTGGAGTCTTTGTGGATAGTGATGAGTCGCAATGTGAGCCTCTTGTTTACTACAGTTACAACATTAGTGACAATCCTCTTCCATAGCGGGACAGCTCTTCTCAATTTTGTGCTTTCAGTGGTAAGTAGTATGTCATTGGTTTACATGGTCTGTTTTACTGAAAGAACCTAATTTCACATGTTGTAACAATGAAAAAGCAAACCTAAAGCACTCAAAACATCATCTAATCTTATCTAATACCAGAATCCTTTTAGATTTTGCAACTTTCAAATCTGTTGTTTGGGGGGCATTCTAGGCAAAGGGCAAGATTTGTGTTACTTCCACACTAAGGAGCTTACAGTCTTCCTGTCAGTTTATTCATGGAAAACTCTTGTTTCTGGCCTTGAAGATACTGAGATGTAACTTATGATATCCTACGTAACTACTGAAATCTTATGGCATGTCCTCATAAGCATATCCTTAAACAAACCAGTTCCCTCAGAGGGGAAAAATTGTTAAAGGGGAATGTCAGTAGAAGTATCTATTTCACAAGGATTATCTTATATTCCCTTGTTTTAATGAAGTATTTTCAGCAAATCTGTGAGGCGGTTGTTGCGTTGTTTTTATTTAACCTCTGTGAGCTCCTAATTGCAGAATGCTTCTTACACAAAGTTAATTCTTATTAATGTTATTGCCTGCACTGAGTAGTAGTCTCTGAAGCCTTTCTATTAAAGGTGTTTTCTTTAAAGGTTGTGTTACATTTTAGCCTATTATGTGAGCTAGATGTTTATAGTTTCTTTTGTTCCTAAATACTGCAGCTGTGCAAAGTAATTTATAATGGTAGAGATAGCTTCTTTCTTCTCATTTGCTGTGACAGCTGTTACTTGAAATAAAAATCTCCTAAAACACTAGCCTGGGATTTCTTCCTGTTTTAACTAAACAAATACCGATCTTGGAAGCTTGAGTTAAATCCATGTCCTGGTTTTTAGTTCAGGATTCAAAAACATTTGTTAGAAAGCAAAGTGTTTTGCTAGTTTAACTTCATTGCCACTGATGCTTGCTCAAGAGGGAGGTCTTTGTAGACAAAGCTGCAAAATTGAAATAATATTTAACAACATTTCAAGGCAGCTGTGTTGATTCTCTTCAATATTTAAGAAAGAACAGATCACAATAAGACTTAATAGAATAGCTGTCTTGAACTGAAGAAAATCACTGCCACTTAATTTTGTTGTTCTCTAGTTATCTTTCAGTTAGTAAAGAAAAGATTGCATGGGAATCTTTCATTTCTTCTCTTCCTTAGACCACAATTTCACCCGTGATGCGACATTGGATACAGTGTCTGAGAAATTAGTATACTTAAAAATGACAAGTTTGGATAATAATTGCAGATGACTTTAATGCAGTCATTGCTTAGACATAAAATTTAACTCTAGACACCTAATGGCTTATACCAAGTTCATTACATGCTGTTGCTGTGATACATGATCTCTGTTTCTTCCACTTCTGTTGTAGGTTGAACATGCTACTTAAAATGGTCATATAAAGCTTTCCCACCAAAACGCATGAGTCCTGCAGTCTTGGTTTCTTGGATTTGAACATAAGCTTCCATTTTGCACTCCTAGTGATCTTACATATACAGGAAAAAATTGTTTTAATACACGTATAGGTTCTTTCTGTAAATTCTTGGTAATGGTAGCCTTTGAAATGAAAGCAGCAGAACTGATAAATCAGAAATACTTGAACTTTTAAGAAATAAGGCAAAAAAACACTGAAAAACTTTGTCTCGTTAACTGTACTTCAAATATGCCAGGGTAAAGGGATATGCTTGCCTCCATTTCTATGCACAGAAAATGTCATGTATAAGTGTTGATGTTCCTGTATGAACTACCTCTTTTGAAGGCATTTAAAATTTGCATGCCTACCTGAAGAGTAGTTATTAATGCTGTTAAATTCAGATTTGACGGATGGACCACTCGGTGGATAAGGAATTGACTGGATGGGCTCACTCAAAAGAGGTGCGATCAACAGCTCGATGTCCAAGTGGAGACTGGTGATGAGTGGTGTTCCTCAGGGGTTGGTATTGGAACTGGTGAACCTTAAAGTACTTTTAGGATAACTTAACTGAACTATTGTGAAGGCCATGTAGAAATAATGTAACTACTTCTTAATT